CACCAATTTTTTCCAACCATTGGTTTTTGCTTTCCCGAGGACCCCAACCAGGAAGCCAGTCTACACCTTCCTATGTGGCTAGCTTAGACTAACTGTTGTTGATTTCATTGACTGGTGAAGCCATGTTTTCGTTCGACCGCCGCTAGCTCTTTTCCTACCTGACCCTATATCAGCTAAAATTGCCCGTGGCTAGGCATGCGTAACACATGTCCTAACCATCTCAATCGATGTAATTTCACAGTCTCGTCGATTGATTTCCCCACCTTACCTAGCACTCGAGTCACACCTAACCTCAATATTGCTCACATTATCATACCACTTCATGCGGGAGATAGAACGCAGACACCCATGATCGAAGACAGCTAATCTTTTCATGTCTTCCGCTCTCAATGGCCAGGTCTCACTTAGCCATAAAGAAGGACGGAGCGGGCTGATGAGCAGTATACATGCCCTTTGATCGATATTCGGATATCAAGTGAAGAATTCTGACATCTTTCACAGGGAAATCCTTCTAAAAACAACGCTAACGGTAGTGTTCTCGAGATGTCCACTTGTCTGCAGTAGCCTGAAAGACAAGATCTCACATATATCGGTTAACCTGTCCCTGTGGTGTCAGACATATTTGCCATTCGATGCGTATCCTATCCAAAAGGGTTGAAGAGCACTGTCTCGGCTCTATAAGAAGCACGATAGTTGAACACATTGTCGAGAGTGATCATTCACCCTTAAAAATTTCCTCCACGAAAGTGATCTACTAAGTGAAGAACAACCTGTCAAAGACAATAAACTTTCGTTCCCTATGCAGTGCTGAAGCTCTAGCCATTCGGTTAGAGAAACAGGAGTTATGCATATAGAAAAGAACTACTCAATCACTCATACGATCATGGTAGTTACCTTTTCTTTTCTTTCCTTTTTTTAAACTTTCATCATACTATTTCTTTCTGACTTTTAAACAATATCACATTTAGATGGTTGGAGGCAATCGGCAGGAAGCCTTGGCTGTACCTACGTTTCGTGCTAGTTGGCACTCGTCAGCAAGGCGTATCTGCAACCTTGAAGGAACTCATATCCCTTCTGAGATTCGAACCCGCGTCACCCAGTGCTGCAGTCAGAGACGTTACCACTGAGCTATTCGGGCTCGCGATTGACCTCCTGTAGGACTGTAGTGGATATTCTTGACACACATAAACTCACTAGTAGAGGGAATAAAATTCACATTTGAAGCCGAAAATGAGCAAGGAGAATTAGCTATGTTAGACTGTAAAATAAAACGAATAGAAGAAGGAAAACTGCACTGCACACTAGTGTTTATAAAAAACGAACGCATTCTAATAGATATTTAGACTTTAATTCATCTCATCCTTTAACTGTTAAGGCAGGCTTAGTTAAGTGTTTAACAAACCGAGCAGTGGCACTAAGTAGCACAAGAAAAGACCTAAATGATGAAATAAAACAGATAAAAGAGGCGCTGGTATCAAATAACTATCCTATAAAATTCATTAGGAAGATCGAAAAAGGCCAAAAGAAAAAGAATTGTGAAACTAGTAATAATGACATAAATAAGAGAGAATATAAGTCATCCACTGTTATACCATATAAGGAGGGGACATCTGAGACCCTCCCCACGTAGGATTCTTAATAAAACGGGAATTAGGCTGGTGGCATTCAAACCTACAAACTCACTCAGGGACAAGCTCTGTAGGTTAAAGGACCCAGTGGACCCAATTAGACAAAACAATATAATTTACAAAATACCCTCCAATGACTGTGACGTCAACTACATAGGTCAAACTAGTAAGTCAGGGGTAGTCAGATTATCGGAACATAAGAATTTAGTGGCTAAGGTAAGAATGGTTGACCCAGAGAAGATAAGTAATTTAGAAAAAAGCTCGGCAATTGCAATGCATGCATTAACACACAACCACACAATAGGGTGGGAGAGGGTTAAAATTCTAAAAAGTAATCTAGGTAGGTGGAGAGAGAGGTTGATTACTGAATACTGCCTGGTTCATCGAATCTACATCCAACACATGCAATAGGAATGAATCATCACTCATACCCGACATATGGAAAATAATACTACCAATCAAATCAAGTGAGAATCAAGTGAAAAACAATGGAACTATATAAATGAATTTAGAAAGTCGTGTGATTACTTTGATATGATTATGAGCAATAAATTGTGCTCGAAACGTCATCAGTAAACATTACTGCATAACACTGTGAGACTTTATCAAAATAAAATTTACCCATAATGGAATTACACTCTACCACAGTGCCCAAGTTTTATTCTTATATCAATGATATTTTGATTTGAGCTACCTAGAATGGTGGCCACATTACAACCTGACTGATAGAATTCAGTCTGCACCAAAGAGAGGAGTAGACGCATCACACTAGTTACTAGTGTCAAATCAAAATATCACATTTTCCTACTTTTCTATATGCATCCTGATTACAACCCATTCATTAAATTATTCGTCTTATTACGTGATTCTAACATCCTACTCTTTTTTGGTTATAGCTTGAAACCACACAGTACATATTGGTACAAGTATGGAATTTTCAGCATGTGATATCAGTAGCCCAAATTTTGCAGGTCGACCATAGATATCGGGTGTGCATCGGCAGGGGATTGAACCTCGGACCATGTGCATGGCCCATGGCGAGCATGCTAACCACTGTGCCACCGGCGCACTTATTCAATTTCTCTTATGCATTGACTAATATTAACAATTATAATTATGACAACTTACCACTATGAAATGTATTGGATGAAATGCAATTTTACAGGACATATGACACATATAACATAATGAGTGGCAATGAGCATAAAGGTTTCCTCCCAGTATATCAGCTGCTGATAAGTGTTTGAATTTATATATTATTATTATTATTTTTACGACTTGATCACGGATTGATATCAGTTAGAGAACCATTGAAAACCAGCACTGGAGTACTGGACAACTGCTGTTTCATCCTAGTTTGGGAATCATCGGCAGTACGCACCCGCTGGGATTCGAACCCAGGAACTTCCAAACTATAGAAAATTAATCTGATGCTCGCTAGTGACTTGCTACAGGATGGAGTTTCCTGGAGTAAGTTCTAGTGAGAAGTCGTGACCAGTGAGGTCCAATTAGATGTCACGTGTGTGGATGGATGTCCCACCAACGACAATGGTTGGGGTTGCGCTAAATCACGAATTGGTAAAAGTTAGAATTCATGGGCTGGCCATTGAATCGGGTCCCAGTGGCTGAATGGTATACTAGCTTGCCTTGTAACCGGAAGGTCCTGGATTCGAACCTTGGTGGTGGGTGCGTACTGCCGATGATTCCCAAACTAGGATGAAACAGCAGCTGTCCAGTACTCCAGTGCTGGTTTTCAATGGTTCTCTAACTGATATCAATCCGTGATCAACTCCTAAAAACATAACTAACCCTTACAAACCAAACTATAGAAAACTATTATTATTTATTATTGTTCTCTTGGGTTCTGAGTGAATTATAGAGCTTCAACATCACATCTGTATTTTCTCTTATACTCTGCTACGCTCTTTAGCTGGCCCCACCATTGCCCATAATCTTTCATCTCCTCGTCGCACAATCTCCTCCACGTCACCGTCGGATCCATCACAAACTCGTCGTTTCCCATTGGAGTTCTACTCGAAGAATGGTCTGATGCGCGATGTCATCTGACGGTCAACTCAATGTGTGTCCAATCCATCTTCAACAGGAGGAACCCATGACTCCATCAGGCTAAAGGACTAATCTACTGACCACTCAGCTTTAAGGTTGGGAATAAATGACTTTTACATTCTAACTTCTGCCAGTTTGCGATGTAACGTGTTACGGATAAGCAGTGCCATCGACGACCCCACTGACCACCACTTCTCACTAGAAATTTAAGACATTCATCCAGCAACAGGGATCTCTGGGAGCGGACCAACCAGGAACTGATTGTGAAACAAATAGGCAGAAAGAAATGGAGATGGATTGGCCATACTCTGAGGAAACAAGCCATCAAGTGACATCACTAGACAACCCATTGCTCCAGTGGAACCCGCAAGGGAAGCGGCGAGTTGGTCGTCAGTGCAAGGGTGACTTGGAGTGGAGGAGGTCATGTGAAGAGGAGATTAAAACGTGTGGTCAGACTTGGAGCCAGGTGAAGACTCTAGCAGAGAACCGAACGCAATGGAGACGTTCAGCTGAAGCCCTATTTTCCTCTAGGAATTAAAGGAAACAATAATAATAATAATCCACTGAGCCACTAATGAACCTGTGATAAATATTCAGAATTTGGAATTTGCATTGACAGAGAAATATTGAAAACCAAGAGGCGTCGGATGCCTGTTTCGGCCTGGTTTAAGTCTCTTCACACAGGTTGTTATGATTTCTAAGTATATTTACAGTTAGATAATTTTAAGACACTCTGTATTTTTGGGGAGTAATAGGATCAGTTCAGAAGATAGTCAGTGCGTCGGTGGCATAGCTGTTAGGACGCTCACCGACCATGCACATGGTCTGGGGTTCGATCCCCGGCCATTGACGCACTCCTTTACCTCGCTAAGCCAGAACTAAAAAGCTGGCGAAGAGGAAACGTTGGGCATGAGCCTAGCAACCTCATCCTGTAAAAATAAACACTGCTACAGAAACTTCAAGTCTAGCCTCTAGCTTGAAGCCCTATGTTCCACTGGGAACGTGAAGGAATAAAAAAAGGAAGATAGTCAAGCTTTGCTTTCAGCGAATGATCACGGAAAGATTTTCGTAGTAGTGGCAAGATCCAAAATAAGAGTATTACAAACTAAAATGCTATACTAACAGGTAGTCTCTAAGCGTGAGCATTCTTCTGAGCATCTGAGACTATTCAGTTGCATTTATAAGAGTCAGATTAGTCATTACAAATGGTCAGTAGTTGCAAATAGAGTTATGGTAGGAGGAGGAGCAGGAGTGAGAGTAGTAGTAATAGTGTAAGCAGTAATAATAATAGTTTAGATCACTCACTTGACCTTGTACAAACGATTCCATCAATGCAGCAACTTGTCCCATATCCATAGGAAAAGTCAATTTTAATCCTTGATAATTTGATGGTACTGATGGCAGCCAATCACCATTCCATACGTCTAAATCCAACGGTTCACCACCATCTAATTCCAATGGAAATAATAATATTAATGCCAATTAACTCATCATAGTTATTGATTGAAAAACATCAAATTGACAGCTGAAAAATGGCTGTCATGAGTAGAATTTGAAACAGCGATGAATAGATTTAAACAAATCTGTTACTTTTTTTTTGTAGGGATTTTCTCGTTTGATTGGTTGGAGGATTTCATCATGAGCTGACATCAGTTAGAGAACCATTGGAAAACCACCACCTGGGAGTACTGGACAGCCATGTTTCGTCACTAGTTTGGGACTCTTCATCAGTATGCACCCGCCGCCAGGGTTCGAACCCAAGACCTTCTGGTTACAAGGCAAGCTCGTAGCTCACTAGCGACTGGTCCTATTCAGGCAGTGACCTGGGGTTCTAGTGGGAAGCCATGACCAGTAGGTTACAGCAGGTTATAGATGAGGCAGTAACTCATCATAGAAGACATTGCGAAATCGTCCCGCTATGTCGTGAATTGGCAGAAGTTAGAATTTATGGGCTGGTCATTGGATCGGGTCCCAGTGGCTAAATGGTCTACGAGCTTGCTCACCATGTAACCAGAAGGTCCTGGGTTCGAATTCTGGAGGCGGGTGCATACTACTGAAGAGTCCCAAACTAGGACGAAACACTGGCTGTCCAGTACTCCCTGCTCAGGTTTTCCAATGGTTCTCTAACTGATGTCAGCTCATGATGAAATCTGTTACTACCTTTTATTTAATGTTAGGATAAGTTTTTTTCTTCCCTCCGTGAGTTATCTTCGGTTTCTTACAAATTGCTCACCTACTCAACAAAATAATTGTGTACTATATATAAACTTTCTTTGCCATTATGGAAAATAAAACGGTTAACCTGCTAGATACCAAAGGATCTAAGGTCACTGATTACAAACTGTTCCCGTTAATTGAAGTAACATGATAAGTAATAACAGAGAAGATTTGTAGCTCACTTAAAGGATTTTGATTTGTAGAAAATCAAAGTAAGTGATTCAGTGAAGAGACAAGCTGTACAATCGAAATGCTCAGTTTCAGTTGATGAGCCCTGCATAGGACGAAATACGCTTCCTAGATTCTACTGCTAATCGTTATCAACCAGATAAAAGAACGAGTGTAGTCCATTCACGTTTCATCCTTTTCACTTTAAACTGTAAAGATGGAATATTTTTAGGTAAACAGATAAACACAAACAGTTAACTGTTTGACTCATCTGCCTACGACAGTACAATCAACATAAACTTTAAAAATGAACATAATAACGATAAAGCCAGAATCATCAGATCATTTTTGATAAAAGTTAAATCAGTATGGTTCATGAACTGATATTCATTTAGAAAAAAGTATTGCCCTAGTTTGTGACTCTTCAACTAAATGCATCCATGACACTGCCGATATGGATCGAACCCAGTACCTTCAGGTCACATGGCGAGCCCGCTGACCGTTTTTGTCATTGGGACTGACTCACTCACAAGTCCTAACTTCTGTCTGTTAGCGCTACATATATACACTGCCATACATGTTATCAATGGGTACCTGTCCTCACACCTAATTTGGTGGACCACACTGACCTAATTCTCACCAGTGACTGCCCACATGATGGAGTTTCCTGAAGTTCTTCTAGTGAGAACTCTTAACTAATGTAGTCTAACAAGTTGGATGTGAGGACAAATACTTACCCGGGGACACTGGCAGATGTTGGAGGTATATGTCTTGAATCGGTAGAAGTTATAATTCATATAAATGTCGAAATGATCGATGGTTTGACTAAGCTGGGAGTTTTCAAGCTTTGCCATAAAACAATCAGCCAGCAAAGGATCCAGTGGATCTCTCAAAAGATCCATCCACCGGAAACGTACATGGAACGGACAACTAACTGATTTTTATAGTTGTGTGCCTATCTCCAGGAAAAGGAAACTAATTCATTCTCTCTGCTTTAGGATAAGAAACATTTGTAGTTCTGATTACGTTGACTCAGAACTTGACTTCCTAAAAGCCGCGCTCTCAGAAAACGGTTACCCGAACCGATTTATTGACAGTAAGCAGTCTACACTGGTCACCAACTCAGTTCCAAAGAAAACCTTATTCATGAACTTGGAATTCAAAGGTGATCAAGCTTCAGATATGCTCAAAACAACCGTCTCTCTAAAGCAGTCAGTAAGACGTTCTTTGCAGCAAAATTACAAATGACGTTCACCAGCCGCAAGTTGTTCTCAATCTCTGTAAAAGATAAGCTCCCCCATCTGGCCACCTCCATATGCACCTATCAGTTCACATGCTATTGTGGCCAGAGGACGCTTTCCACACGGATACGAGAACATATTCCAGCAGCATGGTTTTACAAGGGAGAAAGGAAGTGTGCGTGTGAAGCTCTATTCTAGAACACTTGATCGACTCCTGTCACTCTACCAACCCTGACCATGATTTCAAGATCATCTATCGAATTCATGCTAACTTGCTGGCCGCATTTTTTTTGGTTATAGACTTCTAAAGACAACGGAGGCCTAGGTCATTCATGAATTTAAGCCAGACCTTTGTGTACAAAAGCAGTATGTGTAATCCCTACTTCTGCCATGACCGCAGAGAGATGGACATCTATTTATTTTTAAATCTTTAAATATTCCCATTAATAATATTAGAACAAGACATATAAGCGAACAATATTGTTTTCAATTAGATCTTCTTCAGGCTTTACTCTAATTTACATAGACTTATATATAAAATTTTAACCAATGACGGTGATTTTGGGAATCAAATAATAATTATAAAATGGTAAATGTTTTGAACGAAATTAATAACGATGATTATAATGATAACAAAATATTGATAATAAGGTTTATGCAGGTGATAAGAATAACAAAGATAGTATATGTATATAAGTGTATATGTAGACATTATAATAAAGGTTTTTGTATTTCCCAATGAATGAAAAACAAAACGATATTGTTTTTTACTGATGTTTCGCTATTCAATGCTAATGGCTTTATCAAAGTATTATGTAGACAATTCAATAAATAAATAAATTAGGTCAAATCTTAAAAGGTGAAGTGGAACGATAATCAGAGTTTAAATAAATATTATAAAAGTACGAAGGAAATGGAAAATAAGAAAGGGTGGGAGGGTTTTGAATAGAATTCACCTAGGCCAAGGGAGAGACAAAGGTAGAACAAACTTCTTTTGTATGCAAAGACTAGGATTGTTCTCTCGAATTAATTTCCATAGCTTCGGCTAGGTGTAAAAGACGGGTTCTGATTCCGTTCGAAAGACTCGATGGAATACGATAGATAACTTTGAAGGCACTATTTTTGTCCACTTGGTGACCGCTATCAATCAAATGAGCCAAAATAGAACTTCGTATGGATTTTATTTGGTTTATTTACTTATTCTATGTACCTTTCCCTTATTACTACGATTATTATTATTATTATTATTCTCACTCTGAACTGTTCTCGCTTGTCCCATTTGTCATTCTTAATACAAAAAGCATTTTCTTACAATACCGAATTCTATCTTATCAAATTTCACACCATATTATGTAACATTTTATATTCGCCTACTAATCCTATACGTATGTACCCCTTTCCAACATCTATACACCTTATGTATTATTCTAAATATGAAATTAATTGTTTTGTCACTTCACATTTAACTATAATTATGATCACATATGTTTTAATTGCATTTCATACTATTATTATTATTTCATGTATTCCAACACCTTTGACCTAATTCCCTTACCGGATATAATTTCTTAAAAAACCATTATCATTATTATTACTGTTCCCTTGGGTTCCTAGTGGAACATAGGGCTTCAACTACACGTCTCCACTTGCTTCTGTCTTCTGCTGTACTTTTCACCTGCATCCATGCTAATCCATACTGTTTCAACTCCTCTTCACACGATCTCCTCCATGTCACCCTTGCACTGACGTCCCACTCGCCGCTTCCCTTTCGGGTTCCACTCGAGCAATGGCCTGACGCGCGATGTCACCCAGTGGCCTCCTCAGCCACGAGTGTCCAATCCATCTCCACTTTCTCCTGCATATTTGTTGGGCGATTGGTTCTTGTTTTGTTTGTTCCCATAGTTTCTTGTTGGTGATTCTTTCCGGCCATCTGATCTTGAGTATAGAGCGAAGACAGTTGTTGATAAAGGTCTGCAACAGGCTGTTGGAAATATTCTTTGTGACACGCCAAGTTTCTGATCCGTATAGAAGAACTGACTGACTTGACGTTTGTATTGAAAATCCGAATTTTGTTGTTGATGCAGGCTGAGTGACGAAGATTTCCATATATATAATCAATTCGTTGTTGAAATGAGTCTCTTCGCTGAATATTGTGTTCTTAATGCCTCAATGGGAATTGTTTAATTATATAGAATATTCAGAAGCTTTGCATATATGAGTGAATTCCAACAGTTTGAACAGATGTGAAGGTGTTATGTTAGCTGATGCATGGCAAATCCTGATTGATAAATAAAAGAATGGATATCTACCACTAATTCTATGTGATATATCCGCTATAAATGTGTTTGATATCAGATGTAGCTTAATATAAAAAGTCAGAAATTATGAGCACAATTACTAACTATCCAAATCTAACCTTTAGACTTTAGTATGATCCAGTAAGCAGTCAATGGGTGTAATCTTAACAGGCGTTCATGGAGGCTCACTGTTGAAGTGTCCGGAGAAAACATCTATCCAGTGTTCCCTAGTTTTCAGTGAAATCGTTTCTCGTTGAATTTCTGAACATCATCCCCTGCATAGTGGTTGGTTAAGTAAAGGACAAACAAAATCTATTCACATAGCGCTATTCTATCTCATCTTGTGGATACACAGAACACAAGATTGATGTCAACGAGGCAGCTTTCAAAGTCATTTACCGTATACCAACAAATCTTAACTTCGCCTTAAGAGTTCGTTTACTAAATATTGCTGAGGCTGGCCGTTGGGATCCATATTAAGAAGCCTAATTTATGTGTCCAAAAGAAGAAGCTAGTTCAGACATTATCCTTACCCCGCTGGCCATCTAGGTTTGAATGATCCTCAATTTTTGTGGAAATTTCCTTAATTTTAGTTGATATTCTATTTGCTATTATATCTTTATTATTATTATAATTTAAGCATCTTTAATGAACTGTAATTCCATTGTGATCTTACTTAACAAATCGATATTATTTTAAAAAAACATCAATATTGTTATTGACTACTATTCTAGAATATTCTATGTATATAAACATATGCATATAATTGTAGGGACAGAAGAGGAGGAAATTATCGAAAAAGGAGATTCTTTGCTTAATTATTTTGTGTTAAAAATGAATTCGCTTGTTTTCATTTTTTATTTCATTATAACTTACCAAGATTATTTGAAGTTTTCGATGGAGGATTGTCTGTATCCGATGTGTTTTGATCAGAGGCGTTCAATATCAAGTCATGAAATAAATCATACAGCTTTCATTGTTTGTTTGTAAATAGCGAAAATGGGGCATAAAAGAAAAAAGAAAATTTGAAAAAATAAAGAGGTTAAACTATAATTATTGATGGGATAAAATACAATAGAATACACTAGTTAAACTACATGAATGATTGACATAAGCATATATATGTATACATATATTAAAAAGACAATTGAAGCGAAGAAAATTTCCTTTTCGACGAAGTCACTATCAACTAGGCTGTACATTCGTGTATTTATATCAAATGGATGGGAAAGTTCCAGAATAATTTCCGGTTAAGGGTCAAATTAACAAAAATTACAATTAGGAATTAGTATGCCATAATAAACAGGGGAGGGGTGGATAAAACTCAAACAAAGTAGCATTATAATAACTAAGAAGATTGACATTGTGCAATTGGGGGTTAGAAATGTAGAAATAACAAAATAAATAGGCAGGATGTTTGGATAAAAAACTAATGTGATGAATAATTGTTTATGCAGTCAGGGATCAAATATGTGGAAATAGTAAAATGATAAAATAAACAGGAAGTGTGGATATGAAAATAAGGTAGTAGAAAATAGTAGTAGAAAAAACAGGCCTTCAGCAACGAGTCTCTGCTCCACTGGTTTCACACTGTTTTGACTTTCAACTGTCTCCAGTACTGCGAACAAGCTTTCATTTCCTGTTCACATGATTCCCCTGTACGTTAGGTTAATCATCGATGCTGTTCCCCGCATCGTTCTGTTGCAAAATGGTTGGGCTGATATTGTGGAATCGGTAAGGAAACATCAACACATATACTCGCTTCGTGATATCGTCCGATTCGTTGATAACAGTATTATTATTGTTTCCTTTAATTCCTAGAGGAACATAGGGCTTCAGCTGCACATCTCCATTGCGTTCGGTTCTCTGCTAGAGTCTTCACCTGGCTCCAAGTCTGCCCACACGTTTTCATCTCCTCTTCGTATCACCTCCTCCACTCCATGTCACTCTTGCACTGACGACCAACTAGCCGCTTCCCTTTCGGATTCCACTAGATGGCTTGTCTAGTGATGTCACTTGATGGTTTCCTCAGATTATGGCCTCCAATCCACCTCCATTTCTTCCTGATTATTTGTTTCACAATCGGTTCCTGGTTGGTTCGCTCCCAGATATCTCTGTTGCTGATCTTTTCTGGCTGGCCATCTGATCTTGAGTATTCAGCAAAGACAACTGTTAATGAAGGTCTGTAGTGTGCTTGAGATGCTCTTTATGACGCGCTGGCCAAGTGTCTGATCCGCATAGTAGCACTGCCTTAGCATTGGAGTTGAAAATCCAGACCTTATTTTTGATGCTGAGTGTTGCTGACCTCCACACCGACTTGAGGGAAATGAAAGCTTCCTTGCTTTCCCGATCCTCGCTACTTTGATATCCTCGTCAGTTCCGCCCACCTGTAGTTGAAACGATGCTTTCCAGGTAGGTAAAAGAGGTTGTTTCTTTCAGGTTCCTTCCATTTATGCTGATCGTTGTCTGGTGTTGTTGTTGTTGCTGTTGGTGGTGTCGCCCAGGAATCTTCATCACCTCTGTTTTATCTATGTTCACCTGAAGGCCTATCTTCTCTGAATGCTTCTTCTGTCAACTTGTTGCTTTTCACTTGCATATCTTCCAGTTTGTGTGAAATCAGACATATATCATTGTCGAAGTCCAGATCCTCCAAGTGTTTTTGTGTGAGTCCATTTTATGCCTGTTTCCTCATTGCCCGTTGTTTGTCGCATTATCCAGTCTATTGCAATCAAGAAAATCATTGGCGATAGTAGGCAGCCTTGTCTTACCCCTGTCCTCACTTCGAAGGGTTCCGTAAGTTTCCCATTGTGGATTACTTGACATTCAGCACTGTCGTACAGCTGTTCGATGAGATGTGTAATTGTCGGTGGCACCCCGTAGTAGCGAAGTAGTTGCCAAAGCACCTCTCGATCGACGCTGTCAAAGGCCTTTTCAAAGTCGTTGAAGTTGAGATAGAGAGGTGACTGCCACTCCAAGCTTTGTTCAATGATGATCCGTAGTGTGGCGATCTGATCAATGCATGACTTGTTTAACCTGAATCCAGCCTGTTCCGGTCGAAGTTTTTCATCCAGGGTAGCATGTTTGATTCTCTCCAGGATGATGCGGCTTAGTATTTTGCTTGGGATGGACAGGAGCATAATTCCGAGGCAGTTCTTTCATTGACTTAAGTCTCTTTTCTTTGGTAGTTTGAATAAGTATCCTTTCTTACAATCCTCGGGTACTTTGCCTTCTTTCCACACCTTCTCCAGTAGTGGCGTCATCAAGTCCGCTGTTGTCTCTGGGTCCGTTTTCAATGCTTCTGCTGGGATTCCATCTGGTCCTGCTGCTTTCCCAGCTTTTAGCATCTTGATTGCCTTCAGGACTTCTGATTTCGTCGACAACATACAAGATACGAATGTTACTAACAAAAGTATGCCATCCTTCGACACTGAATCACACTGTTCAACAATGTTTCACTGACAGAAACTGTCCTTTTTACGTGTAATTACATAAATGATAACCAGCTCAACATTGGTATACCAACAACATGTCTGAAAGGACTGCTACTGAGGTGTACTCTCAATGTACAATTTACTTTCAATGACACCATCTACAGATAAAAGGATGGTACTGGAATAGGATCTCCGTTGGGTCCATTATTAGCAGACTGCTTCATGTCTAGCCTTGAAAACGGCCCAGTGAAGTCGTCCACTGACAATTTTCAATTGTACAAATGATATGTAGATGACATTTTCGTCGTTTGTGACAACAGTTACGACCAAAAATCAGTTGCTAAAAATATTCAACAACTGCCATCCGGCGATAAAATTCATTCTAGAAATGGAATGCCAATCTAAAATACCCTTTTTGTTGATGCGCAACTAACAAGACGGAACGAAACCTGATTAAATCCCTTGCCACTAGAATCCAACGGATCTGAAGTCCTGACGCCTTGGGAGCGGAATTGGATCTAAAATGGATACCCGCCAAGATTCAACGACAAGAATATCAAACCAAAGACCCAGAGGTAAGAAGCATCACTTGTTTCAAAAAATACACTTTTTAAGGGTCTGGATTTCAAGGGAGACTTAGCCTGCGATATCCTCAAGAGAAGAATCTCAGCATCGGTGAAAAGAAAATTCGCAGCAACACTAACAGTAGTGTTCTTCAGTCGTCCATTGATCTGCAGAAACCCTGAAGACGAGATCTCGCACCTGGCCACTTCTATGTGCATATATTAGTTCACCTGTTGATGTGAATCAAGCCAGGTACATCGGTCATTGGACGCATATCCTGTCCAAAAGCGTTCAAGAACACTATACCACAGCATGGCTACAAAAATGAAATAGTGGCTGTATAAGCAGTGCGATAGTCGAACACGTTGTCAACACTGGTCATTCCAGTTTCTCAACAAACACCTCGTTCAAAGTGATCTGCAAAGGGAAGAACAACCTACCCAAAGCAATACGCTCTCATCTCCTTTTTTAATAATAATAATAATTTGCTTTATTCCGAAACAGTACATGTAATATAGGATGGAATTCTCAGTATTTTTACTACAGTATTGCATCCAGTTAGTACATTATCAATAAATAGAATTCTACACAGATTAAGGAGATCTCAGTTCATTATAACAACAAATTATTGGCATGTCGGTAGCAAAGCCAAAGCTGAACAGTGTTTGAAGGTGTTAGAAAAGTAGGTACTATCATATTTACTGGCGTAAGCGAGAGAAAGAAACAAAGCAGCACATAACGTAAAAAGAAGAGAGAGAGAAAAGGAAAAGAAAGAAAATGTTGTACCTATAAATGATATGAGTTGGAAAGACGAGGTCCAGTTGTTCTGCTGACTATTTAATAAGTTATAGGTCTCACGTCCAATGCTTTCTTTATCTCACAGAACACCAGCTTAGTGGGATATGGTTGAGTTTTTGTACTTGCTAGTGAGAGCATATAGTTTTCTATATAGGCTTCTGGTTTTACCTGATGAAATGCAAGGGAAGAGTTGTGAATGAAGAGGGTGGTGTGAGTTAGATAAAATGGATTTGGCCTATTTTTCACATGAGTCCATGTGCCTGTCGACGAGAATATTAACAAGCTGGTTAAGTGGCACAGTGCTTACCCTGCTGACAACCTTTAACATCCTGCGTAATAAAGTATAGTCTTTCTTCAGTAGCCCGGGAAAAACTAAGGGGGAACAATAGAGAATAATAAACTGGATGCGAGAGTTAACGAATTGTAGGAGTAAGGATTGGGTTATTCCAGAATGTTTTAACTTCTTGATGTAGAAGGTAAGACGGAATATTTTCTTAGAAATCGCCAAGATATGAGACGACCAGGAGAGATCAGCAGATAGAATGACGCCTAGGTATTTAATTTCCGATTTGGTTTCTATTTCAGTGCCGTCTGTGTTGCATACCTCGTGAGAGCCAACCAGTTTGTATAGGTCGGATTTATGCCCTTCATTTGGAGGAATCAGAGTTATGTATACGAAAGAAAATCATTAAACCACCTCTATTATGATGGCAACAACCATGCTGACTTCTACTAACTTGATGTTTATGTGCTTGTTTTTTTTCTAATTCAACATTTTTAATTTTTAGAACTCTTACATAATTCCATAGTTTGTCTTTATTCCTATGTGCATCCTAATCACAATTCACTCGTTAATTAAACTATTCATCTCATTGCGTAACTGTTTACACCTATTCAGCTTTTTTATATGTCGACCAACATTAATAACTATGTTTTTGTGGACAACACATGATCACTACCCTCTTATCAATGTTCACTCCCCCCTAGATACAATTTGGTTACTCAGCACATCTTTGAAATGTCCTGACTACAATAATCCTAACTTATTTTTATTCTTATCGGACAAACCTTATGTACACACACACACATATATATATATATACAGCCAAGTGAATAAACTCTCCGAAAAGAGACTCTTCACTGAATTACGTGATTTTGTTTTCATCAATGTCTGGATGGGGATTATTCATGAATCATCTGACATTTAATTATTGGTTTGTAGGGATTTTGTTGATTGGTTACAGGATTTCATCATGAACTGACATTGGTTAGAGAACCATTGGAAAACCTGGGAGCACTGGACAGCTGTTTCGTCCTAGTTTGGGACTCTTCATCAGCATGTACCCACGGGGGTTCGAACCCAGGACCTTATGGTTACAAGGCCAGCTCCTAGACCAATAAGCCACTGGGACCCGATCCAATGGCCAGTGCATGAATTCTAACTTCTGCCAATTCACATTTGTTTTGTGAAGTAACGGCGGTGAATTCTCATGAAAGTCTACAGCAACCTAATGGAAATACATTCCATATCAATGACCTGGCCGACATTTATGTTGAAAATTCAAACCTTCTGTCTTATGATAAACTGTGGCAACCTCTATAGTGAAATTGGGGTAATGAACACCTGTTTTGGTTATTTTGATTCTACCTGGCTTTCACATCCTTGTATGTCTTATCATATACCTTTTTTGTCTTTGCTTGTAAATATCACCTAAAGGGGCAGTATTGAGCGGATTGTATTGACATATGCTTGGTTAACACATTACGAACTTCTGCACAATGAAAACAAGGAAGGCCCACTCAGTAAAACTAAGTACAAGACATTATTTTGGTTTTTAAAGATACATATAGGTAAGTTCTCAGGGGCTTGGTTAGTTTCAAGTGTACCCATGAAATGACACTAGCTAGCTAGAGTACCACTGGAAACGAGGGAGTACTGGACAGCTGTTTTCTCCTAGTGTGCAACTCTTCAGACATACGTTCAAGTGACTCTATAGCTACGCGCCATATCTGGAATCTTCCGTTCATGAGGTGAGCCTATCGACGAATCAAATGGAATACAGTGACCAGCCAAAGAATCCCAACTTCTGTAATTTGACGATATATATATATATCGAATTTGACCACGGATTGGTATCAGTTAGAGAACCATTGAAAACCAGCACTAGAATACTGGATAGCTGTTTCATCCTAGTTTGGGAATCATCGGCAATCCGCACCCCCCACAAACCCAGGACAAGCTCGTAAACCATTCAGCCACTGGGACCTGATCCAATGACCAGCTCATGACCAATTTCGTGATTTTTAGCGTGGCTGGCATCAACCAATATCATCGGTGGGAAATCCATCCCTACTCCTCCCAACTGGATGCATCTCACTGGTCACCACTTCTCACTAGAACTCCTGGAAACTCCGTCCTGTAACAAGTCACTAGCGAGCATCTGATTAATTTTCAAGAGTCGGTTTGTAAGGATATGAATTGCTTTTCGAACCCCAGTAGGTACGTACTGATGATGATTCCCAAACTAGGCAGATGAAACAGCTGTTCAGTACTCACTGGTAGTTTTCAATGCTTCTCTAACTGATATCAGTCCATGATCAAATTCGAAAAACAAATCTGAATCCTTACATCCAGTCACTTTCGCCAGCGAGTACTTCTCCTGACACCTGACTTGGTGCACCCTACTGATCATAACTTCTCAACACAAGTTCAGACAACTTCATCCTGTTTCCGGTAATTAATAGGCATAGTAGTTAGGATGCTCGTCAACCATGCACATGGTCGGGGGCTCGATCCCCGGCCAATGACGCACTCCTTTACCTCGCTAAGCCAGAAATAATGCTGGTAAAGAGGAAAGGTTGGGCATGAGGCTAGCAACCCCATCCTGTAAAATAATAAACACTGCTACAGAAACTTCAAGCCACTAGCTTGAAGTCACCCTATGTTCCACTGGGGAACGTGAAGGAATAAAACAAAAAATTTCAACATTAGTACTCAGAAGATCACATAAATCTATTTATACAAGCCCTCTATTCACAGGAAACTATTTGTCTGTGTGTACAAGTTTTAAAAAAAAACAATCCAGCAGAAATGAATTATTAAGCACCCATAATTTAACCTACCTTTAAATGATTTTGTTCACCCGCGTATTCCAATGACTGATAAATCATCCAAGCGCATCTTCTTTTAATTTCTAAACGTGCTTGATAACGTCTATACCATTTCTGAATAAGGACAGCAGCTCCAAGACCTAAACGTTAGTTAGTGGTATATATATATTTATATACGTAATAGATACTAATATGTAACAAACTAAATATTTTACAAATTGTTAAGTGGAAAACACTCATCGGAACACCGAGAGAGAGAGAGAAGAGCAAGGAGCTCGACAAAGATAGCATTTCAGCAATTTCATCCTCAGCCCTATTTATATACATGAGTCTACAACCTCCCATATATGAGCACCAAGGGACGTGTGTACTGCTCAGCAGTTCGCTCCGTCCTTCTCTATGGCTCTGAAACATGGACAATACGAGTTGAAGACATGAAAAGGTTGACTGTTTTTGATCATAGATGTCTACGATCTCTTTCTCACGTTAGGTGGTATAATAAGGTAAGTAATGCTGACGTTAGGCGTAGAGTGTTGGGCAGAGGGAAAATCAATCGAAGAGGCTATAAAGTTACATAGATTGAGATGGTTAGGTCACGTGCTGTGCATGTCTAGCCATCGCCTCCCCCGACGAACGGGCATTACTAGCTGATAAAGGTGTTGTAGGTTGGAAAAGAGTAAGTGGTGGCCAAACAAAAACATGGCCTCATCAATCCATGAAATCCCTGACAGTTAAACTGAGTCAGGTAGGGAGGGAGATGCAGACTTCCGGGTTGGGGCCCGCCCTCGGGACTCTAAGAATCAATGGCTGGAGACAGACAATAGTTGACATGGCTCAAAATCGTTGTCAATGGCTTACGCAGATGTATTCAGTCTCTGTAATCTTCCACATTCCTTTCTACCATTACTCATTCTGTTTCACTCTTATGCTTGTCAAAACTCTATTGATTCTCTTCACTCTCATTTTCTTGTCTACCTTTGTGTGCTATTTGGAATGTGGCAACTGGAACTGCTGCACTTCGGTGCCAAGTTCTATGTTGAATCCAGCCAGCCAGCCAAATGAGCACTCTAATGTGTATAAATTTTAATTCACCTGCTCCTATGCAGCTTGATACATAGGTCGTTCTATGTGCTTCCTTTCAAAACTTGTTAAAGGGCACTACCCAGCATGGCTGCAAAGAGGCGGCACTGGTCCAATCGGAAGCTCCTTATCAGACACCTGATCAGCACCTGTTACAGCATCTCATCTAACTCATCATTCAGAGTTATTTACAAAGTGAACCGAAATCCACCAAAGGCAGCGTGTCTCCGACTTCTTCGTACTGCAGAAGGCCTTGACATATGCATTGAAACTAGTCTAACCTTTACATTTACCATGGATCTAGTTCCGTCTTTTTTCATTCCCTTCATATTTTTCATTTTCAGTTATAAAAACTATTGTTTCGATTTCTTTCAATGCTCATCCCATTGACACCTGTCTCGTTTAAAAACTATTTTGCATATGACGCAACTATTTACTAATCCTATGCAATTTTATTCCAGTACCCCTTATAATCTATGTTCATCCCCTTCCAACTTTCATCATATTAAGGTGAAAATTATTATCACCTTTAATCGCCTTTATTATTATATTGAATCAAATAATAATTGTAATTATTGTAAACTTATCTATATAAATGCGATTGTACAGCTGCTTTTGAGGATGAAATCTCCAGAAAGGTATTTTTTCTGAACTTCTTGTTCTTTTCTATCAAATCACTAAATATCAATGTATCTAATTATTTCTTTTATGATTATTTGTTTCCTAGAGAGCATAGGGTTTAGCCGCACGTCTCCATTGCGTTCGGTTCTCTGCCAACGTTTTCACCTAGCTCCACGTCTACCCAAATGCTTTCATCTCCTATTCGCATCACCTCTTCCACTCCTTGTTACCCTAGCACTGACGACCAACTAACTCGCCGCTTCCCATTCCGGTTCCACTCGAGCGATGGCCTGGCGTGTGATGTCACTCATTTGATGGTTTGTTTTCTCAGAGTATGGCCTCCAATCCACCTACCTCCATTTCTTCCTGCATATTTGTTGCAAAATTGGTTCCTGCTGGGTTGGTTCGTTCATTGCCAAAAATCCCTTTCTGTTTCTGATCTTTACTGGCCAGCCATCTGATCTTGAGTAGTATTGAGCGAAGACAGCTGTCGATGAAGATGTGTAGTTTGTTTGAAGTGCCAAGTCTCTGATCCGTATAGTAAGTAGCACTGACTTCACAATGGAGTTGAAAATCCGGATCTTATTTTGATTTTCATGCTGAGTGTTGACCTCCACACAGACTTGAGAGTAGTGAAAGCTTATCTTGCTTTCCCCATCCTCACTTTGATGATATCCTCATCAGTCCCGTCGGCCTGTAGTTGAAACGATGCTTCCCAGGTAGGTAGGTATGTAGGTAAAGAAGGTTGCTTCTTTCAGTCTTCTCCCATTTATGCTGATTGTTTTGTGTTGTTGTTGCCGTTGGTGTTGGCCAGGAATCTTCATCACCTCTGTTTTTTCTATGTTCACCTGAAGTGAAGTTCCATCTTTGATGCTTCTTCTGCCAACTTGTTGCTTTTCACTTGCATATCTTCCAGTTTGTGTGAAATCAGACATATATCATCGGCGAAGTCCAGATCCTCCAATTTTTTTGTATGGGTCCATTTTATGCCTGTCTCTTAACCAGAGATCTAGACACGTGTAAGTTTCAAAAAGTTATCAGGTTGCATGTTGAGCTTATTTCACTTCACTCACTGAATAGAAACTCACAGTTCATTTAAGTAGGCCATTAATTCTCTTCACAACTCAGTCGTTAGTGATGTTAATTATCACTTTAGCGCAAACACCCCCGTAATTGTTCTGTCTTTACATTAAGACACTTCCCGGGGTCTTGATAGTAAACTCAAAGTTATTATAGGAGTATCAAAACTCATTCAAACTGTATTTAACAAATAATATTCAAAAACTTCATGCAATTCTTCCCATTAATAAACTTGAAAAAAGCAAGAACAACAATTGTTCAGTCTGTATCTTATTCTACTAGCAGTATCGTCACCTTTGAATGCAAGCTGCAGAACGCTGCCCTGAAAAGAACATATCCAGCCACCAAGCTTGTATGTGTTTATCAAACAACTAGTTGTTTGAGACAATCAAAAGTGGACAAATACCCAGCTCATGTTACCTCCAACTGTGTCTACCAATTTACATGTACGTACCAAAGCACATACATCGGAAGAACAGAGAGAAGGGTTATTGTCCGCATTTCTGAACACATACCAAAGAACCTGAGACTGAAAGGTCCACAAGCATTAAGCAGTGCGATTGCGCGTCATCTACTAGACACTGGTCATATTGTAGACAACCTGAAGTCGTTCAAAATAATCAACAAGCAAACGAAACCTAGCTTGCCACGCTTTGCTGAAGCAATTGCTATCAAACGACTTAAGCCAAATCTATGTACGCAGAAAGAGACAGTGGTGAATCTTGCACTGCCCTGGTGATAACAAAATATATGACTTATATGAGTCACCCTTTTTCTTCTTTAGAAAACTCTACTCTCTCATCTAAACATCACTCACCCTACCTTGTTCTTTTCTCTTCTTTTTTTCTATTGGCTATTTGATAAAACATTTTCCTTAGTTACGTAATCTACTTTTTGTTATGCTCTTTCTAGCTAAACCTTGTTTCTATACACACATATATATACGCAACTCCGTTTTTTGTTTCCAAGCCTAATTGTCTAATTATTCTATAAATAGTCGGTGTTTGTAACTCTTAATTAGTTAAATCCTTCCGCACTATTATTTACTTCCTACCAATTACTCCTTGTGATCGTGGAAAAGTATGTTCAAATCTTTAATGTCATGTAATTCATATTTTTTATCGTTCAGGTTGTAACCAGTTGAGAAGAATCCTCGAAATAATAAAAGATGAGCTCATATTATCCTGGTACAATTGTTGTCTTTGCTTTGTTCAAATAATATTCACATGGAAGTTGTTTCGTGCTTTGCAAACTTTTATATTTGACAGTTAACATTTGATCACAAGGTCTTGATGACGTCTTCAGGGCTAACTACATGTCATCACTTATTTTTAAATGTTTGTATCTTTCTAAGTTTCATTTATTGCGGCTAACAATAGAATCCAAGACTCGTGTTTCACCAACTAAAAGAAAACATCATGCTAATTTTAAGATACCATCGAAGCACTCGTACGAGAAACCAATATATCTACAGATACAGAACATTTCAGTAGAACGAAAATCAATCAAGGGGAGATTTAACATTAACAACTTCCTTCCGACCTGTCGCCCAACAAATATGCAGAGGGAAATACAGATGAACTGAACATACGTTGAGACCTTCATATAACATCTTAGGCCAGTCCTTCAAGTGGGACCTGAATTGAAAGTGACGAGTTGGACGGACGAAGGTAACACCGAGAAGATCACATAAAGAAGAAATGAAGGCTTGTAAACTGTTGCAGAGCCATCCGACAACTATCCCACTGAAGTCATATGTTGCTGAAGCCCTATGTTTCCTTCAAAACTCAAGGAATGAATAGTAAGTTCTTCTTAAGCTCTCAGTGCACGGTTGCGCTGAAATGGGATTTAACCGTAACTATGTACATTCCACCATTGTTATCTTTGCAGGACTACTTTTATTTGACCTCCACTTTTCCCTATTCTCTGAAGTCCTCTTTAACCAGCCCTACGATCGTCCATAACGTCTCATCTCCCCCCACCCTCGGACGTCCCACCCGTCCCTTACCATTCGGATTCTACTCAAAGGCCTGGCGCGCGATGTCATTCGACGCTTTCCTCAGTGTGTGTCCAATCCATCTCCATTTTCTTCAACCCATTTGTTGAGCAACAGGTTCTTGATTGATTCTTCCCCGGGGTTTCATATTTCTAATTCTTTCTGGCAAACCATTTGATGATCTTAAGTATGGAACCTGAGAAGGCAGCTGTTCGTAAAAATCTGAAGTGGCCTGTCGGAAATGCTTTTCGTGACTCTCACACCAAGATTTTAAACCATAAAGAAGCAAATAGTGACTTAACATTGTTCTTGAAAATCCAAATTCGGTTCTCTAAGCTGAGTGCAGAAGATATCCAGAGTGATTTCAGATTGACGAAGGTCTGTCTTACCCTTCTGAATCTGAGTTCGACGACCTCATCCAAGCCAACTGCTTGTAGTTGAAACGATGGTTCCTAGATGAGTGAAGGAATTGATGTCATTCAAATTTCTCCTGTTGAAAGTGATTGCTGTTTTTGGTGGTATTCATCACCTCTGTCTTCTCTATGTTCACCTGAAGTCCTGTCTTCGCTGGCTACTTCTTCAGACAATTTGTTGGTTTTCGCCTGTAAGTCTTTAAGTATGTGTAACATTAGGCATAAATTGTCCGCGAATTCTACGTCTTCTAGAGTCTTCCTGTCAGCCCAACATGTTCCCCACGACTTGCCACATTATCCAGTCCATCACAGTCATGAATACCGCCAGTGGTAGTAGGGAGCCTTGTCTTACTCCAATCTTCACTTCAGACGCCTTGTGCATCATCTGACACGTGGCATTTTCAGGCATTTGTTGAATGAAGTTGATCAAGACTTTAGGTACGCCATAGTGTTCAAATAGTTTTCAAATTACTTCGTGGTCAATGCTGTCGAAGGCTTTTTCAAAGTCGGTGAAGTTGAGGTAGAGGTTTGAATGCCATTCTATGCTCTGTTCGACGATGATACATAGCATTGCACTCTGATCCGTACATGATTCGCCTTCCCTAAATTCAGCTTGTTCCGGTCGGAGTTGTGCATCCGATAACTCAAGTCGAATCATTGTAAGAGACTGAATGTGTTGTTATTATTACGTAACACCTAGCCGGCCTTACTGAACCCAATGTACTCTATTCCCTTATTTAATCAGTTTCTCACGTAATCTGCAAGTACCGATAACTTGATAATATTCTCCAAAGAGTAATATATTTAAATGCAATAATGGCTGATGTTACTGTAAGCAAAAGGTTTTACAATTTATCCGGCTAATATAGCTGGGTTAGGGACCCTGTGAGTGTGACTGTTTACTAATACAGAGGAAAATGGGAATTAGCATCAGAGTCCCGATAGATGTGTTTTCATTGAAAGGAAACTTAAAATACGTTTACCATGTAGCGATGAACCAAAAGTGTCTTTACATGACGTTTAGTTATTCTAATTTAATCTAATTTAATTTAATCAACAGTTCACTCCGTCCTCCTTTATGGCTGTAAGACCTGGCCATTGAAAGCGGAAAACATAAAAAGATTAGCTGTCTTCGATCATAGGTGTCTGCGTTCTATCTCCCGCGTGAAGTGGTATAATAAGGTGAGGAATATTGAGGTTAGGCGTCGAGTGCTAAGTAAGGAGGGGAAATCAGTCGACGAGACTGTGAAATTACATCGACTGAGATGGTTAGGACATGTGCTACGTACGCATGCCTAGTCATCGCCTTCCTCGACGGGCAATGTTAGCTGACATAGGGTCAGGTTGGAAAAGAGCTAGCGGCGGTCAAACGAAAACATGGCAACAGTCAATGAAATCGACAACAGTTAGTCTAAGCCACGTAGGAAGATGTAGACTTCCGGACTGGTTGGGGTCCTCGGAACGGTAAAAACCAATGGTTGGAAACAATCGGTGACATGACTCAAACTCATCGTTCTCAGTGGCTGGCGCAGATGCATCCACTCCTTGTGACTCATGATTTCCAGTGAAACTGTTTTGTTCTTCGTTATTACTATACCTTTTGTCTCACACCTCTGTTTACTGTCAGAGTCCAATTGGATGTGTACTCATTAAAAGGAAACTTAAAAAACGTTTGCCATCTAGCGATGAACCAAAAGTGCCTTTGCATGCCTGTCTGTCTGTCTGCTTTTGACATAGAACTTTGCATATATGTGCGGCAGTTCAAGTCGCCACACTCTCTCCTTGTAGCACACAAAGGAAGAGAAGGAAGTAGAAGAAATGCATATTAGAGACAGTAAACAGAGGTGTGAGACAAAGGAATAGTAATAACGAAGAACAAAACAGTTTCATTGGAAATCATAAGTCACAAGGAGTGGATGCATCTGCACCAGCCATTGAGAACGATGAGTTTGAGCCATGTCACCAATTGTTTCCAACCATTGGTTTTTACCGTCCCGAGGACCCCAACCAGGAAGTCAGTCTACACCTTCCTACGTGGCTTAGACTAACTGTTTTAGATTTCATTGATTGGTGCCTTTACATGATGTTTAGTTATTCCAGTTTAATCTATTTATTTCAACCCTTAGCGTATTTTAGTACCAGGATGGTGAATCACCTAATCATCTATATGAAGAAACACGCTAAAATGAGTTAAGAAAATAAATAGAGGAAAACGATATGAAAAAAATTAGCATTTCATCATTAATAATCTTACATCGATAAGAAAACTCTAGAAGATCTGGATTTAGCTAGTGGATAATTTATGTTTAATCTCATAAAAACTCAAAGACTTACAGGCGAAAACCAACAAACTAGCAGAAGGGGCTGACAGCAAAGACAGGACTCCAAGTGAACGCAGAGAAGACGTAGATGATGAAGATAACCAATCAACAGCAACAACCAGCATCAATCACCATCAAACGAGAGAGATTTAACAAGGGTTACTTCAAGTTTTGGTCTTGTAGGGATTCAGTTTGATTGCATGGAGGATTTCATTATGAGCTGACATCAGTTAGAGAACCACTGGAAAACCTGTGAGTACTTGACAGTTGTTTCCACCTAGTTTGGGACTCTTCAGCAGTACGCACCCACCTCCAGAATTTGAAACCAGGACCTTCTGATTACAAGGCAAGTTCGTAGACCATTGAGCCACTGGACCCGGTCCAATGACCAGTCCATGATTCTAACTTCTGCCAATTCACACAAACGTCTGTCGCGTACTGCCGAAGAGTCCCAAACTAGGACGAAACAGCTGTCCAGTACTCCCTGCTCAGGTTTTCCAGTGGTTCTCTAACTGATGTCAGCTCATGATGAAATCCTTCTCAAGGTTACCTCCTTCACTTATTTAGGAAGCATCGTTGCAATCACAGGCTGGCGGAACGGATGAAGACATCATCACCAGCCAGAATCGGAAAGACAAGATACACCTTCATCAGCCTGAAGCCAATTTTGAAATCTTCTGTACTCACTCAGCCAGCATGAAAAAAAACAAGATTCGGATTTTCAACACCAATGTCAAGTCTGTCCTTCTATACGGGTCAGGAACTTGCACTGCGCGTGTGTCACGAAAAGGATTTCCAACAAGATAGGGCAAACCTTTATCAACAGCTGCCCGTTTCGCCGGCTGGCTCCATACTGAAGATGAAATAGCTGGCCAGAAAGAATTAGCAACAAGAAAGTCTGGCTGAGAACGAATCAACCAAGAGCCGATTGTTCAACAAATATATAAGGTAAAGTAAAAATGGATCGAGCACACGTTGAGGAGGCCATCGAATGACGTCACGCTTAATGTAAGCCATCGCTCAAGTGGGTCGTCAGTGCGACGGTAACATGGAGGATATCGTGTGTTCGGGGGGGGGGGAGCAGGTAGGTGAGAGATTGTGGGCAATCGTAGGGTCAGCCAGCTGAAGAGGATATCAGAGAATAGAAGAAAGAGGAGATGTGTTGTTGAAGCCCTATGTTCCACTCAGAACCCAAGGAAATAATAATAATAATAATTCTCACATCACCGGTAATTTGATTTTCATAATGAAATCTTATTCACTACACTGTACACTACCTTGTCGTATTGCAGTAATATCATGGCGAAGATCTATAGCGCTAAGCACAATCAGCATGATCCTAATCTTAAACAAACACGAATACCATTCAGGTCAGCACTTCTATATACTGCACAGACTTGGAGCGTGAGTCATCAGAAAGCATTTCCAACAGACTGCTGCAACACCTACCCCTTTTGCTAAACACTAAAGATCAGATAACCAGTCAAAAATAGATAATCCACAAAGAACTCTGACAGGAAGTAAACCAGCCAAAACTCTATCGCCTGACAAATATTCAAAATGAAATGAGGATGAATTGGACAATAAACTGAAGAGATATCCAAGCGACATAACCCGTTTGGGAGGCCGACGAGTGTTAGTTGAGTCAAAATTGACGAGTTAATGAGGCGGGGAGGAGGGGAAATGAAAGCTTCTAAACAGTAGTGCAGCCAGATGAAGGTTAAGGAGTCAAGATATGCTTCTGTCCAGTCCCCCCCCCCCTCCGCCGCGACGTTCCACTAAGAATACAAGTAATGAATGATTATAACATTGACATTTACATAGCTGATTTAGCCTACACACATTATTTAAAACATTGAATTTTATTAGCTGACACATTGAATATGTAATTCTTAAAGTTCTAATTCTAGGTGACATGTTCATAAACACAATAATGTGTACAATGAATAAGGTCAGTATTTAATTTATACAAAATATCACCATATTACATAGTTAATCACTTCACTGTGATAAATATGAAAAGAGTCATCTTTCTTCTTCTTCTTCTCAAAATAAAAAAGTGAATAACCATCAAATGTGTATTATAATTATTAAAAAAATAAAAATGACAACCTATGATTAAAAATTTTTAAAAAAAAAAGAATACATTACACTGTTATTATGGTAATAATAATAATAACAAGTACTCACTATACTGTTGTGAACCTCTCTTGTCATCATTCTGTTTAGTCATTGATAACGAGCATACTCGATCACTAGGTTCTGTGAATAAAAGTAAAATATTTAAAAGTTATGTAAGCTTATAGAATAAGAAATATATAAGTCTTAACTTTATGCTTATTTTAACATTTAATGCCACGGTTATATAATATATATACATATATGTATAGGCCACAGGGAGCCTTGCCTAGGCTTAGGTTTCATGCCAGTTGGCATTCACCAGTTAGTCAGCAAGGCGGCGTATCTGCAGCCCTGAAGAAACTCATGTCCCTTCTGAGATTCGAACCTGCGTCACCCAGCGCTTCAGTTAGAGACTTCCTGTGGCCGATTGCCTCCAAGCATCTAATGTCATCAAATCAATGTGCACTGTGATGGTGGGCTACCTAGTGACATGGTGGCCACATTGCAAACCTGACTGACAATAGAATTCCATGTGCACCAAAGACAGGACTAGACACATCACACACTAGTTACTGACTAGTGTCCAATCAAAAATATTCAATACTGTCTTACAGGAGGTCAATCGCTAGCTCGAATAGCTGAGTTGTAATATCTCTGACTGCATTACTCACTGGGTGACGCGGCTTTGAATCTCAGAAGGGACATGAGTTCCTTCAAGGTTAGAGATATGGCTTGCTGACTGACTGGTGAGTGCCAACAAACACGAAACCTAGATCCATGGCTTCCTGCCGATTTCCCCCAGCCATCTAGTATCATCAAATTGATGTGCACCGTGATGGAGAGCTACCTAGCGGCATGGTGACCACATTGCAAACCTTACTGAGAGAATTCAGTTTGCATCAAAGACAGGACTAGACACGTCACACACTAGTTGCTAGTTTCCAATCAAATTATACAAATGCATATTTTAGTGATAAAGTCCTTTAGTGGGATCGCTTTTGTAACTAACAGTCAACAAGATAAGTAACTTATAGGCTTTTGAATAAAGTCAGAACAACAGTGGTTTGTGCAGAATAAGATGCTACCATCATTTTTTATTTCGTTGGCTTCTCATCAGCTGCGTACAGCCTAAGGAAAGTATTAAGTTTGTGTATAGAGCAATTTAATGAATGCTTGTGAATGTTACATAATGTTAGTTGACAGGAGCCTCTGAACTTAATGTGAACAGTGCTCAGAAATTACACCATAGTTACACTGTAACGAAGAGTGGAGAGGCTAAAGCCGAAGAAAGAGAGTAAGGACATCCAGTTACCAACGCTTGGAACTACCGCTAACTTCTTCTTTCTGATCACATAAATTGGGTTTCAGGCGTTTGATAGCGATTTCTTCGACACACTTGAGCCGATTTAAGCTATTTTGTCTATTGATAATCTTAAAATATTTGATGATCTGTACCTCATGACCCGTATAAGGAAATGCCTGCCAGTGCCACTATTGAGAGCGTTTGCTCCCTTGAGATGTAGGCTTTTTGGTACATGTTTGGAAAAATGGAGGTTTTTCTGCTCTCCCAGTGTGACTACTCCCGCAGATACATATAGATATTTCGACACAATTAGAGTTACCATGAGAAGGATATCTGTTCAATTTTGATTAGACCAAAGAGCATGTTGTCCGATAAACGGGAACCAACTTAGCTAACTTCATGATAGGCTCTGGCTAGTGAAGTATCCGACCACACATTACCCATCTTTCAAACACATAGTGGGTAATGTTCAGGTTACATGTTTCCTATTAGGTGAATATGCCATACCAGTCTATGAAGTTATGAATTCTGTTTGATTAGTATTCTGCGTAAGTACCTTTCTCATAGTAAGCCCCCAACTTTCTTCAATAAACAGTGCTAATATTGTGGTGAGAGCTGTCTGCTAGCCAAAGTTGGTAGACAGTAATTGACGTCAATGTTTATGTTCCCAATATTGGTGGTGAGAAAATGAGAACTAAGGTTTTGCGTAGGCGAATGCAGTTAGCATATGGATGATCGGACACAGCCAGCCACAAAGAGATGCAAAGTTAACTTTCTGTGAGAAACACCCAATCAAAAGACTGTATTTTCTACTAACAATAATCTACAATAATGTACATTAAAATCTATAAATATGTGTTGATTTTCTTTAATAAACGATCTGTGGCCTGGTCCTTGTCTTCTGTTGTTACAATACAATCAGCATTGCATCGAATTAAACTTAGGGATACAAAGGAAGCCACTTCATGTTCGGCTGGTTTAGGAAATCTGTTTAAGTGGATAATCGTCTCCTTAGAGACCAACTGATGGCTGAAGTTGCCCATAATGTGCTCATCTTTTGATTGTAATTCAGTCGTTCAGAACTCTTAACATACTTTTCAATTATGCCTTAAAATTCATATTTGTGAGCTGTTATACCACTTTTCTACAGTTCATTTCTTTCCTTTACTCTGAGAATTGCCCTACATTAGACTGATATACCTTTGTGGAAGGTTATAAAATGCTTATGGCTAGCTAATATATTTTAAATCTATGTGTCTACAGTATATGACAACTTAACTTACATTTTTTCTATCACTCTGAGTAACTCTAAAATTCAAAATAAGCAAATTGTCAGTTTCAAAGCAAACGATTCAAATTAGTCTAGCCTTGTTTTCACCTCTCTGCTTTCTGAGTGAGACATAGACCTTCAAGTTTTGAATTTTAGTGCTGGTAATGCTGCTTTTATGGGATGAACTTGCTAGCGTCATGTATAACTTCCCCTCTATCAGCACTTACTATCGGCTGGTAAAATAAGCAGTGTTTAGGAGCCAGCTGGCTAGGAATCGAACCCGGACTGACTTGAATTCTACCATTGAATCAATGAATTCTCACCTACAGTTGTTTACTTGCTCAGCTACGTCTACCAACATAAAAGCAGTCTTAAATTCTATCATTATTTCACAGGATTGAATGATGTAAGTAGGACTGCAAATGTATTAATATTTTCAAAGTTAATCGAAGAGTTTGCACACTTCTATTTCAACTGATTTCTCATTAATTTTTTATGTTAAATGTAAAACGAACTATTATTATTATTGTTCCCTTGGGTTCCTAGTGGAACATAGGGCTTCAACTACACGTCTCCACTTGCTTCTGTCTTCTGCTGTACCTTCCACCTGCATCCATGTTAATCCATACTGTTTCAACACCTCTTCACACGATCTCCTCCATGTCACCCTTGCACTGATGTCCCACTCGCCGCTTCCCATTCGGATTCCACTCGAGCGATGGCCTGACGCGCGATGTCACCCAGTTACCTCCTCAGCGAGTGTCCAATCCATCTCCACTTTCTCCTGCATATTTGTTGAGCGATTGGTTCTTGTTTTGTTTGTTCCCATAGTTTCTTGTTGGTGATTCTTTCCGGCCATCTGATCCTCAGTATAGAGCGAAGACAGTTGTTGATAAAGGTCTGCAACAGGCTGTTGGAAATATTCTTTGTGACCCGTCAAGTTTCTCATCCATCCGTATAGAAGAACTGACTGACTTGACGTTTGTATTGAAAATCCGAATCATTTTGTTTTTGATGCAGGCTGAGTGACGAAGATTTCCAGACTGGTTTCAGGTTGATGAATGTGTTTGTCGCCTTTCCAATTCTCGATTTGACATCTTCGTCCGTTCCTCCTGTAGTTGAGACAATGCTCCCTAGATAAGTGAATGAAGTAACCTCTTTTAAATCCCTCCCGTTGATGGTGATTGGCGGTGGATGTTGCTATTATTAGTTATCCAATAAATGGCAACTACAAAAGAGATATTACGCAATACTTCTATACCTTGATAAATTTGATTGATGCACAGTTATCAAGTATCGGCTTTGTATGGAATTTAGTTTGATTGGGCTGACATCAGTTAGACAACCAGGGAGTACTGAAGAGCTGTTTCATCAGCCTAGTTTGGGACTCTTCATCAGTACTTACCCACCGGGGCTCGAACCAAAGACCTTCTGATTACAAGGCGAGCTCGTAGACCATTAAGCTATGTCATGAATTGGCAGGAGTTAGAATTCATGGGCTGGCTATTGGATCGGGTCACAGTGGCCTAATGGTCTACGAGCTAGCTCATCTGTTAGCCAGCAGGTCCTCAGTCCAAACTATGGCGGTGAGGTGGGTGCGTACTGCTGAAGATTTCCAAACTAGGCTGACCAAACAGCTGTCAAGTACTCCCTGACAGGTTTTCCAATGGTTCTCTAACTGGTGCCAGTTCATGATGAAATCCTCCAAATGGCGCACAGTTAGTTATATCCACAAAGTCTAGGCATAGAGTGATGAGTAATTTGTTGCCGAGGTTAATGTGTACCAGATGTGCTTGTTATTTCCCACAAACGATGTGGCGTTTTTTGAAAGGTTGTTTCCATGACACGCGTTTGTGAATGCATCTAAACTTCGTAACATTGTGTACTGAATTTACAATTTATACCTCAATGGTAATGATATTTTAGTTTGGGTGGACTATATTTGATCTATCACCTGGAGAGTAATAAACGGTACTTAGCAACGAAGATTCTAATGGTATGTGTTTTATTAGCCTTAGAAACTTTTCTAGTTTATACTGCTTGATATATACATGATGATAGTATTTAATTTGGGATTTCTTATACACCGACCAATAGATGTGACTTTAACCTAGCAGCTGAGTTTGCCTATTAACGTAACCAGCTAGAAATCTACACTGGCTGGAAAAAGTCTTCTTGCAGGTTCTACTATTCGGAAAAATTCTTTCGGATAGATGTTAGACCACCATATTGTGAGAACAAAGTCATAAGGTGTCCACCTTAGACGGCTAGCAAGCCAGCTATGGTATCTAACCACTTTGGAGAGGAAATATTACAAAAGGCTGACCCAAAAAATTGTACATCCTAGCTTACCTTGTGGCATTGTTTAGCCGGTGGTAAGGCTTTCTACGCACACACTCCGAACGGGCCGTGTGTGACAGGCATTGAGTGATTGTTTCTGGGGCACCAGTACTTTTTCTGTCTTAAGTATTTCAAGAAGAAACTAACATCCGTGGTATTTATAGTCAGGAGGTAACAATCTCCCCATACATTTCCATAA